TATCTAAGGTAGAGCAGCAATAAGGACGTTGACAGTCATTTCACATTGCACTTATACTGGATTAAATGGATGTAAATAAGCTTTTAGCCTTTCATAATGGGATTCTAATGGAAACAATCGTCCACAACTTTCTATGGAGTTAAGTCATTTATTAGAAACTAGATTGTAGATTGTAGATTGTGGGGGAGTTGTTTCGGTTTTTCAGCCATTCAGCACTACTACCTTTGCAGATATTTTGTACGTGACTCTACATCTTAAATTTTCTCCAAGAAGCGTAGAATTCTGCCAAAGGAAGCTATTTTCCTGGATGTCAGTTGGCCTACTTTTTCTGGTAACAGTGTTGCCCCCTAGAGGAATTTGAGCCTCTTACAGAATTGGGCTGAACATTCGCAGAGCAGGTGCTCTGCGGTCTCTAATGCGTCTGAGCAGAATCTGCAGAGATCGTCTTTTGCTCTGCCCATCAACCTTAAATGGTAGTAGATAGTCAAAGCGGGTTCTAGCATCAAAATCCGACCATAACCTCAATCTTGCATTCTTGACACGAAGGTGGATGCGCCGTCCTTGACACGAAGGTGGATGCGTCGGCGCCATCTTGTCATCTGTCAAACGTCATGGCGCCATCTGTCGAGAGTGCGGTGAATTCTTGCAATTGATTGACAAGGGTTCGAAATTACTGTTTCCTAAAGGCGTCGCCGATCTAGAGATTTTCCCACGGTATCGAAAAAAATTTCAGGCTCAGGTGGTACCGTTACTACTAACCTGTCTCGAAAAGCTGCCTGTATAGACAGACCTGTCTCGAAAAGCTGTCTTTATAGACAGACCTGTTCCATAAAAAAGCTGTCTGTGTAGACAGACCTGTCTCGAAAAGCTGTCTGTGTAGACAGACCTGTCTCGAAAAACTGTATCGGACCTGTTTCTGGACCTGTATAGCTGTCTACACACTTAATTGTCCCTGGACCTGTATATTTAGAGCGTTTTATAGTCCATAGGAAGTTACTTGGACCAGGCCTTGAATAGATAGCGCCACCGATAAAATTTGGGGTTGGACAACGTCAAATCAACGAAATTGCAGATCAAAGACGCCGCCGATCTAGAGATTTTCCCACGGTATCGAAAAAACTGTAGACAGGCCTGTCTCGAAAAGCTGTATCGGATCTGTCTCTGGACCTATATAGCTGTCTATGGTCTATTTTTTCCCAAGATAGATTTTGACATTGTCGACTTTGAAACATAAACAAAAACAATGCCGCTTATTGGTCGCAAGATGCCATTTGCATGGCATGCATTGTAAAACTGATGTCAACCTGCAGGAAAACATCATTTTGCGACCATTCAGGGCCAAGAGGTATTGTTTATGTTTCAAAGTTGACAATGTTAAAATCTATCTTGGGAAAAAATAGACCATAGACAGCTATACAGGTCCAGAGACAGATCCGATACAGCTTTTCGAGACAGGCCTGTCTATAGTTTTTTCGATACCGTGGGAAAATCTCTAGATCGGCGGCGTCTTTGATATGCAATTTCGTTGATTTGACGTTGTCCAACCCCAAATTTTTCGACGTCATGATGTTATCGGTGGCGCTATCTATTTAGGGCCTAGTCCAAGTAACTTCCCATGGACTATAAAACGCTCTAAATATACAGGTCCAGAGACAATTAAGTGTGTAGACAGCTATACAGGTCCAGAAACAGGTCCGATACAGTTTTTCGAGACAGGTCTGTCTACACAGACAGCTTTTTTATGGAACAGGTCTGTCTAAAAAGACAGCTTTTCGAGACAGGTCTGTCTATACAGGCAGCTTTTCGAGACAGGTTAGTAGTAACGGGAGCACCTGAGCCTGAAATTTTTTTCGATACCGTGGGAAAATCTCTAGATCGACGACGCCATTAGGAAACTGTAATTTAGAACCCTTGTCGATCAATTGCAAGAATTCACCTCACTCTCGACAGATGACGCCATGACGTTTGGCAGATGACAAGATGGCGCCGACGCATTCACCTTCGTGTCAAGGACGGCGCATCGACCTTCGTGTCAAGAATGCAAGATTGGGGTTATGGTCGGATTTTGATGCTAGAACCCGCTTTGACTATCTACTAATGGTATTTTACCAGGCAGTGTCCTGTGAGCAGTCCTACCACCAATATGATGTTTGCTCTGCTCATGTTTAGGAGCTGTTCAGCTCTTTTTGCTGAAAGGGTAATAAATCTTTTTGACTGTTTGAGTCCCGGAGTGTGCCTCCAATATGATGACAGTTGGTCTTTCTCCCATTTGTTGAGTTCTTCCATGATGTGGCTTTTCATTGAGCCACAGTAGGGCTCTGGTCCATGGTATGGTGTTGAGGCCCCTTCTTTTGCGAGGCCATCTGCTTCTACATTTCCTTCTATGCCTCGATAACCAGGCAGCCACATCAGTGTTATAGTCCAACAAATACCATTTTAAAGTCACGTGATTTTTCTCTATCCTTGTTGAATACATCTCAAACAGCGGTGATAGTAAAATTGACAAAAAAATTGCTGTCTAATTATTATTCATAAAATTCTTACCTGAAATAGAATCCGTCACTGTCATCAATTAGTTTGTCAAAGTTATTTTAGAAAATGATACAACGAACAAACACAGCTAATAATTTTGACTATATTAAACTTTTTCCAACTCAAAAATATGCAAATAGAAAACGGGTACCCAATTCAAGTTCAGAATGTATTACAAGGGGCAGCAGAAGCGACAAAAGTAAGTCTCGCAACAATTACAAGTATTAAAATTCTCATCTGATTGGTCAATAGTACATCAGAAACGCGTTTGTAAAATGCTAGTGGGAACATATCTTAAAATTCAATAGTAATTAACCACAAGTAGCTTTTTGTAGGTGATATCAACGACATAATCAACGAACATACGTTTTTTGCCACCAATATCACGTGACTTTAAAAGGGTATTTGTCGGACTATACCTGGTTGTATGTCGCTAGTGTTTTTAGGGTCTGTTTACACTCCCAAACTAGTTTTGACGTGCATTTGAAAGCCCTTAAGGCTTTTAAGACAGCTTTCCGATAGTATGAAGATGTGTTTTCTTTTGAGGCTTTGGCTAAGACACTCTTGTGCACATATATCTATTGCAAGCAATTTGGCTTGAAATATTGTAAGATGTTTACCCAGTACCTTGGAGAGCTTGAAGTTAGGGCCAGTGAGCGCTGGTTATTGCCTCCTTTTTCACACATAGGTGAAGTAGGGGTATGTTGAGTAACGTCTCTAGGGTTGCGATGAGACAAGTTGACATTGCTCCCGTTATTCCTAGACATATCAGCCTTTGCACCTTTCTTAGCTTGATCTGAACAGTGATTCGCTGGGTTTTGGGTCACCACACTAATGAGGCATATGTGACCATGGGCTTTATTATAGTTTGGTAAATCCATGTTTTGCCAACAAGTTTTCGGCATGACCAAATGGTTGATGTAGCTCGAGAGCATGTTTTCTCTAACTGTTTGTTCCAAGTGAGTGTTCGGTCCATGGTGACCCCTAAGTACTTCACTTCGTTGGAAAATGTTAGTTGTGTACCGTTAAGGGTGGGCTCATAACCTATTACGTTTAGTATGGGGCTTCAGAAGATTTTGTATAATGTATTCCAAGGAGTTACAACATTTATTTTAACTACACACTAAATGCAAGAGGGAGCATACTTTGAGTCAATAATCAACTCACTTATTTTATGTAGAAATTAATTCTAAATAAGAAATATCTAAGGTCAATCATTCTATTATTATACCTATTTACTTTTCATTCTTATGTATTTTCATTCCTGAAATTTTCAGTTTTCAATAACAAAGAAAGTTAAGTTTCAGACTTGAAAAATTCAAATCAATACTCACACAAAACCAATACAATAATAATAATTTAAAGAAATCTTAAGTGTCCCAAGGCCGGTATTCAGGCCGTTCGCTAATTGTGCAGATCCTGCTAGACTGCTGGGCACCCGACAGAGAGAACCGTCGGTACGATTGCGCGCGTAGAACAGAGACGGGCGCAATTAAAAAAGTACTACTTCTTCTGATGTCGCACGCATACCAGTCGGATTTCAGCCTCGGGGCGGAATAACAATGTTGCCAAGAATAAAAATTACCATCAACCTCAATTAAGGAAACGGGATTTGAATTGTTTAAGGATTAAACAGGTCCAGTTTTGATGTTCATACTCAATCAAATTATAATACGAGAAATGTATTGACATCTAAAGAATTTACAAAAAATCTGCGATCTATAAACGCCACCTACAAGTGAGACTTGTTTGGCTCTGTAATGTGAAAAGACTCTTTCTGTTCCTCTTATGAAGATAGGCATTCATAACATATATTAAATACTATAGATTCTCCAGCATAAGGAAATAGAATGAAACTATAAAAATAAATCGTCATAACATACATAATGTATTTTTATTCACAAAAATGTCCTAATGACTCATTTAAATTGAATAATCAAACAATGTTTATCTGCGTACCTATTTCACCGCTTCGTTTACAACAAATAAATAATAAAATACAACAAAAGTGCCGCCCGAGCATAAATTTGCCTTAATACTCGAAGAATGCTGCCTATAAGTTGAATCATTAGCATTTAAAAATCTGGTTTTTTGATTAAATGCCGAATATATTTGGAAATCCATTCATAAAGAAAAATTCTACCGAATCACGGTTCCGGCACCGCCGTTTAATTTCACGATAAAAAGCCGAATTCCTGCCTGTGCCGGGTTCCCACACTGCTTTCCACTCGACGCTTGTCACGTTAACTTTTAAATAGTTATTAACCAAAATTTAAATGGTTTATAGAACCGCACACAAAAAAAAAAAACTCTGCGATGTTTTACTATTTTAATGGAATGTTACAGTGGCGTATCTTTGAATTGAATTCAATATTGCGAGATAATTTATTTTGGAACTTTGAAGATGTTCCAGAGGTACCAACTTGTTCCACCAACGTAGATAATCATTCATGAGTATATTATAATCGCTATTCCACAGTAAATGTCAATGATAACATTGATAACGGACCAATATATGTTGAATAACTGGTGTAGATTGGAAGTTTTGATTCTGGGACGTCAATATCTAGGCATTCTTCCACGATATGGCTATTGGCGAGGACGAAATGCCAGATTTCCAATGTACCTACACCAACTTTTGTTGAAGGCTTTTTCTTTAGGCTCAGAAACCATGAACCTATTGTGGGTGCAGATAGAAAATGGTGGATTGAACTATGATGCTGATTATCATACTGATTGTAGTAATGACTGGACAAGAAGTGGCAACATTGAGGTTTCAGAAAACAAAGACTACCATTCATCAAAGTCAATAACAACCATCTTATATGGATAATAAAGAAATATCTCTTGGTGCTACAGACGGATCACTGTTGAAGACTTTTTCCTCAGACTCAGAAACCATGAAACTATTGGGAATGATGAATTGGAAGATGGTGGATTGAGCCAATAAGAGCTGATGGATCAGAAATCTAGATGTTACACTGATCATAGTTATGAGCGTTATAAGCGGTTTTTTGACACAGTCAAATACCCTATTGTTGATAGGTAACGATTTGTTGAGGATGTTGGAAGAGGAGCTTTAAAAGCAGTGTTGAGCTTTTCAAATGGTCGGATTATTAGTATTCCTTGATTTTTACTGAATATTGGCTTGAGCTCTCTACAAATGGTGCAGGCTGCGGTCATTTTTCGTACATCGTCTATGTAATATGGTAGTTTTGAGATCGAATCCACTGAAACATTATATAGTTATTCTAGGATGACTAAGTGCATCATGTAACTTGTACAATTTATTCTCAGGTGAAGCCCCAAGAAAAAGTATCGGCCACGATATTCTTATTTCCTGGATGGTAGACTGTGTCATATGAATAGCTTGAAAAATCAAGTCTCCAGCTTTGAATTTTTTCATTTTTCATTTTACTACTATGCTTCGTGTCGAACATGAATGGGACCGATCTGTAATCAACTTGAAATGCCTTCCAATAAGAAAGTGACGTCATTCTTCAGAGCTTCTACAATTGCTACTGCTTCTTTTTCAACTGCTGAGTTGTTTCCTTTATGATAGAGTTTTTGAGAAAAACGCAACTGGTCGTCCAGACTTGCTTAGAATTGCTACTATCGAATGTTTCCACCACAAATGGAATGTTTTCTTCAATGGCTGATTTTGCTACTTTAGTTTTCAAGCTGTGAAAATCAGTGATAGCGAGCTCTTGCATATAGGAAAGTTTCTGGTACTAATAATTCTATGAATTTTCTTGGAGAATCTGGGAATCCATTTAGAGTACTGAGCGAACATGTCCGTAGCTTTATCAGTTGATCCTGGCAGATTCTGTAGAGGTTCAAGTCTTGCAGGATCAGATTTAAGTGTTCTGTTTCCTATAAGATATCCCAGTAGTTTAATTGTCTTTTTGTTGAACGAACTTTTTTACTTTTATTTATAGTTAGATTGTACTTTTCAATAGCTGTCAGAAAAGCTGATGGATTCTTATCGTGTTCTTCTTGATTTTTTCCACAAATTGAGATGCGTAGACGTCTTTTAGATTCTCTTGCCTGATTATTGTATCTAAGATTCTTTGAAAACAAGCCAAGCCGTTAGTCATACCAAAAGGGATACGATTAAACTGTTACAGTTTCCCATCAGCTTCAAAATGTACTGGCTAATGTTTTCTCTACGTTGCAGTTTCCTCGTTGGAAGAATATGTCTTGCAAATGCTTTATTTTCAGATTTTATATAGATGTTATCTAAGATACTCACAGCATCAGCGTAGGTTTCAAAAACTTATTCGAACATGTTGTGACTTACATAGTTTGTAAGCAGCTGCAGATTTTATGCTTCTTCTACATCCTTTACTGACAACATGAAGTTCTGGAATGTAGTTTCCAATGACACCATTCCTTTGCTGCATTTGATGAGATGGGATCAGTATCAAACCTTTCAGGTCTCAGAAGTTTGTCCATATATAATGTCGATTAAATTGTAGTAATGCAAATACCCCAGAAATGAATGACACACAAATACAGTTAGACATGGTATTAAAACATAAAGGTGTATAAATTTTTATGTCAGTGAACTGTAAAGCAAAGATAGTGATGAAGTAGAAATCTTGTTTCTTCGACCATTATTATCACAAACGAACAAAGAATCTTGAGGAAATACGGACAGTTGTTATCGGCAACGTCGCAAATATTTCCGATATCATCTGAACGCGGGGTGGCCTCGGCATTTTAAAAACAGTCAATGTTGGGGCCCCCTATCACCAATCATTAATTAAAAATTGAAAAGCCTGCCTGAGCCTGACCGCTTAGGTGGGCCCCCGCCGAATTTCATATTTCCAGTTTATATAACGAGCTACCTATTTTATTCGAAAAAAAATGCCTTCGGTTTACACACTGCTGGTAGTGCGAAACGTGGTACTTTTCTAGTTAGTACTAAAAAACTTAAATAGCTACACGTAAATTCCCTCATTGTTTCAACATGCACTCTCTATAAAAACATTATTAAAATAAAATGATTAAATTTCCGGTCGTATTTGCATCTTAGTTGTTTTGCTATTTCAATTTTCTAATGTCTTACAAGGCCGTCCTTAGTGGACACAACCTGAGTGTAATTAATTACTCAGGTGCTTTTTTTTTCTGGCTTAAGCCGTAAAGGAAATTGCATAATCGTTCATTCATAAATCCTGTAACGCGAAAAAAATTGATTAAGTTGAAATGAAATACTAAACAAACATTTAAATGTTAATGGAACTACATTAATTGAATTTATAAATATGAGTAATTAGAGCATAATAAATGTGGTTTTATTAATATTCGAAGAGAATAACAACATTGGACTTTGATTAGGATTTATGTGGTCACTTTTTCGATTCTTATATGTTTCCAAACTTAATAAACTTGAAGAAAAGTATACTTAGTGGGTGTTATAGACATAGGGACACATGTCACTATAAAGTTAGTTTCTGAGAGAAACACTGGAAAGTCTAGAGGTACTGCTACAAACTCACTTTCCAGGTTCGGTAATAGTTGAAGTCCTGAACCAGGTCACTCCGCCCCAATGACAGGAGCAAAAGACTGGCTGGGAAAATCTTCACAATGAACAAAATAAAATGGGCGATTGATAGCTTCAGACCCTACAAATCTTCAGGCAAAAACGGAATCTTTCCCGCACAACTGCAAAAAGGTTACAAGTATATAAAGGTACCTACACCTTCAAAAGCTTTTTAAGGCAAGCCTACTCCTAGGGCACATACCGCTATCTTGGAGGGAAGCTAATGTGATATTCATACCAAAAACGGGTCGTCGATCTGAGGACGAACCAAAATCATATCGTCCCATTAGCTTAACCTCCTTTCTCCTTAAGACAATGAAGAAAACCAGTACATCAGAAGCGAAACTATCTACAATCTACAAACTTGACATTTAAAAAACAATTACTGACGTTGAAACACAAAAGAAAAGCTAGAAGACCATTTCCAGATTTTCGATACTATAATTAACGAACTGGAAAGCATTGGGTCAAAAGTTGAAGGTGAAGATAAAGTATGCAATCTTTCATCAACCCTTTTAATGAACAATATAACTCAGTTATTACAACAATAGAAACAATGAAAAATTAAAGTTACCATGGACTTTGAAAAATCCCGCTTGCAAGATGAAACTAGAGACAAAACAAAGTCAAAGTAGTAACCAGTTAAAAGCATCTTATAGAGCACAACCTTATAATGTGGAAAAAAGACCCCGCACACTGTTCGCGCTAACAATATGCTCCCTTCAAATCAAAAATTATATGCACCGGCAACCCCGATCAAATTGACAGAACACAGAACCGCTGAGCGAAGAGTTGGCAATACGGGACGAAAAGTCAGTCAATAATATTGATCCGTGACGTCAAGAGAAGAATTTTTGCTATTGGTCGGATCATTATTATTATTTTTACCGATTATATACCATTTAACCGTTTTGTCCGATAATTTTAAGAATAATTAAGTATTAGCAAAGTTTGTTATTAGACACTTTAAGTTAGATAACGCTAATGTAAGATTTAACAGCTGCGCATGCACGAAAAATAGCGTGTTAAGTGTCACGTTATTTAGGCCCATTTTACAATGGACGTAACGTAACCGTAAAGACGGAACATAAGTCCTAAGCATGCGCACATTAGATTCATTTGCGTCAAATATGTCACCGGAAACGCAACGTAACAGAAGATGAGAGTTGGTCATCTCTTACGTTGCGTTTCCGGTTACATATTTGACGCAAATAAATCTAGAAGCGCATGCTTAGGACTTTACGGTTACGTTACGTCCATTGTAAAATGGGCTTTAGCGGGTCTTTGCGTGTACCTTATCCGTTAAAGTTCGTTAAACCGAGTGGGTCTGAAAGCCAGATTGCCGGTGTCGACCTTTGCCGAATGTATTTCAACTTTTAAAAAAAGTTGTCACGTAATTCAAAATAATCGAAATACAAAAAATTGTTTCTAATTTGTCTTTTTCAGAACAAAATTTAAAAGTTGGGTCATGATTGTGAGATATAACATTAACGTTCACGTGAAATTAGAAAGTTCTCGTGTCTCAGACGCTACGCTAATACGGTACCCCTAACAAAACGGTATGTTCAATGGTATTTTATAGTTCTCGGACACGAAGACACAAAAATCCCCTAATCCCTTATTCTGTTTACATTTTGACAGCTGAAGTGAGTGATCTAACCTAACTTTTTTTGCTTGTTTGCAAACTTTTATTTATCCTGAAAATTCCTGAGTTTCATTAATTTTTCCTTGGTGTTTTTTATGAAGGAATTGCTGTTTCTTGCAGACGTAAATGGAGCGTAAACTAATTTTGACATAGCATAGCGTTACGGTAAAGCATCCGTTAACATCCCGTTAGGTACCGGGCTCCGCTAACGCTAATACGGTAAGAACTGTCATTCTTCTCAAATAACGCTACGGTATTTGAAATTTGGACAGCACGAGAACTCTCTAATTTAACTTAAACTGATTTGTGAGCTCCGACGGTCACTCGACGCTATAGTGAAAAATAGGGTTTACGTTTAAAGATTACGTTAACGTGTTTGGTTCAACTTAAAGTGTCTATTGTTTTAAAGTGCACTTGTATTATTTTTTTCACGCTAAGTTACGTGACGCTGTCTACAAACTTTAGTTTCTTAATTAAAAGTTTAATAATTGAATTTGACAGTGATTTTATTTCGTAAATACGTGAATGTTCCTTCATTTACTTCAGTACACACACCTC